AATAAAAGTATCTAACATGGAATTCTATTCAATTGGTGGATGGTGGCTAGCAGTGGAATCCAGGATGCGCATTTCGTCCTATTTGGGACTCGTCATCTGGATGTACCTGCATTTCTCAGTGAGTGATGATGTTCCCACCGAGGCTTGAACCCAGTGCCCATAGTTTCAAACGCCAAAGCGTTATCCACTAGACCACTTGGGCCACGAGAGCCACCTCTTGTGCAACGGGTCATATTAATTATTGAATTGAATTCTATTGACATCATAAAAAGTTATTCTACATTGTATAATAATAATAATAGTTCAAGGCATAGAAACAAAATCTGATTGGATATCTTTTACTAGACGACATGTATGCTATTAGACAACTTGACAGTCTTTTAATGAATACCAAAAAAAACCCAAATAAAATCAAGATTTTCGCTGATGTTTGCCAACTCTCTGTATGCGTGTATGTATGTAAATGTATATATGTTTGCATGCTTATATGTAAAATGACAACATTTCTTCTGTTAATGTGACTTTTATTGACGCTGTCAAAAACTGTAATCATATAGCTGAATGAAATACAAGAAAGACTGAAATGGACTAATTCATTTCAATGTATTCTTAAAATTTAAAACAGTTAATTCCCTTTATGAATTTAGATAAAGCAATATTATTATCACTATTATTATTATTATTGTTCCCTAGGGTCCTAGTGGAACGTAGGGCTTCAAGTGAACATCTCCACTTGCTTATGTCTTCTGCTGTACTTTTCACCTGCATCCATGTTAGTTAGTCCATGCTGTTTCAACTCCTCCATGTCACCCTTACACCGACGTCCCACTAGTCGCGTACTTCCCTTTCGGCCTGGTTCCACTCGAGAAATGGCCTGACGCGCGCGCGATGTCACCCAGTGGCCCGGCCTCCTCAGCGAGTGTCCAATCCATCTCCACTTCCTCCTGCATATTTGTTGAGCGAGCGATTGGTTCTTGTTTTGTTTGTTCCAATAGTTGGTGATTCTTTCCTGCCCGGCCATCTGATTGATCTTCAGTATAGAGCGAAGATAGCTGTTGGTTGATAAATGTCTGCAACAGGCTGTTGAAAATATTCTTTGTGACCCGCGCGCCAAGTTTCTGATCCGTATAGAAGAAATGACTGACTTGACGTTTGTATTGAAGATCCGACTTAATTTTGTTGTTAATGCTGAGTGACGAAGATGTCCAGATTGGTTTTAGGCTGATGAATGTGTTTCTCGCCTTCCCGAAGCAATGAGAAGACGTAATTTGTCTGAATCGTGTAATGTGTATTTGCGCGCACAACACATTTCGAACAATCTGATCACACTCCACGGACTTGTCAAAGGAATAGGTATATATGAAATTAAAAGAAAGTTAAGAGGTGAGAAAATAGACTTCTTAGGTCAAGTTTAAAAGACATATTGAAGACCACTAAGCCAAATAACAAAGGTAATAGTACATTTTCGCTAGATGGCATCCAAACAAATTTTGTCAAGGAAGGTTTATGTGATGACGAATTGTTGCTTTGAACGGATAAAGGTGGTTTGAACTTCCTAATTACCAGCTTTGGCTTCCGCAAACTTTAGGATACACCCCAAACACGTTTTATAGATAGGTTTAAAAGATGTTTTAACGTCAGTTTAATGTCCTGTCTCCTCTATAATATGTTTCGCAATAGAGCAGCAAGGTCTCCTGTTCTCACCGTTAATGGGTTCTGAAGATTCTGTTTGCTTCTGGATCCATTTAGAAATATGCTCTGAAGGCCTTAATTGCAGAGATCGACTAGTAAGTACTCCCTATGTATGTCCACACACACATTCAAATTGGTAAATACAGTGGGATGTGATGTCATTTTCCGCATGTTCGAAGGGCTTAGATAGATATAATGACTTCACATTCGCTATTATTATGATATTAGCTGCATTAAAAGTCTTTTTAACAGCAGTGTTCAGTTTTTGTCTAGTTATCAAGCTGCTATGATACCCTGTATAGGGTAGCTTGATGTACACGTGTTTCTTAGGGGCGAGTTGAAGAGCGGGTCTTGATGTTCTGACTACTTTATATCTCTCGATGAAGTTGTCTGGATAACTGTCATCAACAAGAGTTGGTTCAACTTTCTTTTTCTTCATCAAGTATGTCTTCAGTGCATATTCGTTGGATTCTACAGAAGAGGCACCTAGCTAACTAAGGCTCATTTGTACGGAGTAGGGTAGAAACTGCGATAATTACGATACTGTCCTGTCCTGTCCTGTCCAGACAGCTTTTCTATAAATAGATGTTTTTGTTGACCCATCAAGACGTCGACTAAGCAATATGTCTAGGAAAATTAAACAATTATCTTCCTCTTCTACGGGTGTAAGTGATATGCTCGCTATTCTGAGCTTGATTCATTCGATTTAAAATTGGAGTGGCAGAGCAAGACGTATCACTGATGAACACAATATCATCTACATACCTTCTATAAAGTGGCACATTTTCGATTAAATCATCCGATAAATTCTCAATGTACGATATATATATATATATATATATATATATATATATATATGATAAAAGAGGCCCTAACGGACTTCCCATAGCAACACCATCAGCTTGGCGGAAACAATCGCCTTCAAATGTAAACCTAACCTTGCTAGTACATAGAAGTAATGAATCCCCTAAGATATAGGGAACGGGAAGAATAAATTGTGTGTGTGGAAATGTAATCACACAAAATGTCAACTGTTGCGAGCAAAGGGACATTAGTGAATAACGAGTTTACATCAAAAGAGTCCATATATTCTTATTAATAATATTAATATCTTTAAATGTTAAAATATATTACCAATATACGATTATGTTGGCAATCGGAATACTAAGCAGGCAACTTTAGTATACTTGTGGCGTGTGCTACTGATAAACATTTATCAGTAGTATATTAAGGGACACAAAATATATAAAATCTATCTCTCTGCTATTTAATATTTTTGTGACGATGAATGTCTCATTATGTACTACTGATAAATCTTGACGCTGAAATCGTCTTTCGGTGTTTTCCTATGTCCCGACATACAAAGCAGACTCCTCGCATGGAAAGGCCCCCTAAGAAAGCAGTTAGTCGCCAAGGTTGTCTGTTAACACTCACTAACTCCTGGTGGAATTAAGAAACCACACAGACACCGGCCAGGAACTGTTGCTCTCCGATAAATTTGTCGGTACAAAGAAGAGTATGGAAGCCTTGGATCCGCAAACTACCTTATTAAAGTCTCTATTTACAACTGATTGGTTGAGAAGATCAGTGGCGTGCCAACCGTCAGTGCTTGCTAGCCACGTGACTTGAACTGATTTGGCTCTCTCTAAGCTGAGTTAAACCGACCGATTGTACACCCATAATGAGCTCGGTCCTAAATGACCGAAGTGGCCATCTATGGTGTTCAGATCAACCCGATTTGGCCAGCAAGCATTACTGGTTGATATAAGTAGTATGCAACATTTTTTCTTTCCTTCACATTCCCCAGTGGAACATACGGCTTCAAGTTAGTGGCCTGAAGTTTCTGTAGCAGTGCTTTATGTTACAGGATGGGGTTGCTAACCTCATGCCCAACCTTTCCTCTTTACCAGCATTATTTCTGGCTTAGCGAGGTAAAGGAGTGCATCGGTGGCCGGGGGTCGAACCACGGACCATGTGCATGATCGGCGAGCGTCCTAACCGCTGTGCCACCGACACACAGTATGAAACTACTACTACTACTGATTTTAGCCAATCAGTAGTACATAGTCTCACGGATTTATGGTTGCTTTTTTGATCACCAATTATGATGGTATCAGGCAGATCACACATATTGTAATGATCGAAATAACTTGGTTTTCAACTAACTAATTTACAGATTGTGAATTGCATTTCTAACGTCTTGTTCGGTGAACGCCTAGGAATTCAAGAATGATTGGTGATTCCATAGCTGATTGAAACAAGACATTATAAGCAAAAAACTCTCGGGTGTATATAACTTTACAGAAAAAACTTTATTTTAACCAATGATAGCAGGTTCGCAGATCAAAAGCAGTGAGTGTTAAATGTTATGAATATATCACTAATAACGATGATAGTAATAAAAATGATACGGAAATCGATGGAATTGACTCATCAAATAACGACAAGAATAATGAACGTATTATTATGCTTGTTTTCTTGAGTTCCAAATGGAACATTTACCTCCAACAACACACATCCACTTTGTCGAGTTTTCTACAGTTTTCTTTAACTGACCCTACTATTGTTCATAAACTCTGATCTTCTTGATGTCACCTTCGAAAAGACACCTTATTCGTTGTTTCCCAATCGGGTTCAATTATTTGATTTTCGTTATTTAAATCTTCTGGTCTACTTAATTATGCTCTTGGCCCAATTATCAAGACATTTGACTAAACCTATCCTCCGATTCACCGATTCTCGATGGGATAAAGTAAAGTCTAAGTACGTGTTATTGGAGTGTATATCGGTTTCCTATGAATGCCAGCTAGTATCTAATCCACCATCTTCTTTTCGTTTGATTTTAGAGTCTAGCATGGTCAACTCATCCTGTTCTTTTTGTAACTCAGAAGTGAATTGAGTTTATATGTGTAAAGAACTGATGGATGTGTTCATATTTCAACACAGTGATGAAATTTGTCATCCACATATTTCCAGCATAACCTAGGTGCTAGAGTAAATGTTATAAGAGCCATACTTTCCCAAATGTGTATACATATGTCTGCTACTCTAACTGGGATATTTGTGATCTCATTGGTACCTTAATTGTTTGTTTTTATAGTTTATTCTGAAATTTGAATACAATGGATATTAGACATAACTGAACCCCTAATTACACACGTTACGAAACATCAACAGTTACTCAAGTGATCTTACACACACACACCCATACAGACATGCACACATTCAAGTGATGTTACGTTTCAACAATAAATCAAATAAAAGGTTCAATTAATTGGGGAAAACAGAACAGCATCTTTTACACTTACATTTGGTGCAGTTGGTTTAGTTGCTTCATGTAAAAAGATTTCACGATATATTGTACGATTATCAGTATGTGTGTATTCACAGCGTACAATTGCTTCACGTCCAGAACGTTGATTCATTTGAACTTCATAGGTGGCATTAATTCTAAAATGCGGAAGTAAATCATTTAGAAATAATGAGAAATTCATTAACGGTTACAATCTTCTATCATATAAAAATGTTTGTAAGAGAATTTGCGTTGAAAACAAATAAATATATGTATATATACTGAAGAGTCCCAGGCAAGGACGAAACAGCTTAATGGTACTCTGTAGTTTTCAGTAGTGTTATCTTACTCTGAATTCAGTTCGTGACAAAAGTTTAAGTCAGTCACATTCCTGAAAAATAAAACTTCATAATTACTCTAGTGCTTAATACTGTACCTTTTGTGCGTGTAGCATTCGTCAATATACGTCATCCCTGGCTTAGTGGACATGATGTTCGGCTGGCTGTCGAGCAAAGCATGTGTGTACTGCTCAATAGTCTACTCTTTCCTACATTATGGATGTGACTGAGACATCTGTCTGTCTGTCTGGATTCAACATAGAACTTGGCACCGAAGTGCAGCAGTTCCACTTGCCACGTTCCAAATAGCACACAGAGGTAGACAAGAAGATGAGTGAAGAGAATCAATACAGTCTGACAAGTATAAGAGTGAAGCAGAATGGGTAATGGTAGAAAGAAATATGAAAGATTACAGAGACTGAATACATCTGCGCTGGCCATTGACAACGATTTTGAGCCATGTCACCTATTGTCTCCAGCCATTGATTCCTAGAGTCAGTCCCGATGGCCCCAACCCGGAAGTCTGCATCTCCCTATCTGACTCAGTTTAACTGTCAAGGATTTCATGGATTGATGAGGCCATGTTTTCGTTTGGCCACCACTGGCTCTTTTCCAACCTGAACCTATGTCAGCTAGCAATGCCCGTCGGGGGAGGCGGTGGTTAGGCATGCGCAGCACCTGACCTAGCCATCTTAGTCTATGTAACTTTGTAGCCTCGTCGATTGATTTTCCTTGTTTGCTCAACACTCTACGCCTAACGTCAACATTACTTACCTTATCAAACCACCTAACGTGAGACAGAGATCGCAGACATCTATGATCGAAAGCATTCAACCTTTTCATGTCTTCAACGCGTATTGGCCATGTTTCAGAGCCATAGACAAGGATGGAGCGAACTGCTGAGCAGTACACACGTCCCTTGGTTGATAACCGGATGTCACGCCTACGCCAGAGATGGTGTAGACTGAGACATAGCCATTGATAGTCGAAGACATGAAAAGTCTGCCTAGCTTTCTTTGATCATAGGTGTCTGTGTTCTGTCTGCCCTGCTAGGTGGTATAATAGGGTGATTAATATTAAGGCTAAGCATAAAGTGTTGAGTAAGGAGGTAAAAGGTACCGATAATATTGTGAAGCTACACCAATCGTTTTCCTCGACAACAACCAACGTTAGCTGACATAGGATGGATCAGACTGGAAAAGAGTTGGTGATTAGTGGTCAAACCAAAACATGACTTTATCAGTCAATGAAATCCACAACAGTTAGTTTAAGCCAGTTAGGCACTTAGAGGGGTTTCAACTACCTGGTTGGGGTCTTCAGGATTGTCTAATGTCACACAAACACGTAGACCTACAAGCGAAAACCAATAAACTGGCTGAAGAGGCTGGCAGCGAAAAGAGGACTCCAGGTGAACTAACAGAAGACGGAGGTGATGAAGATAACCAATCAACAGCAGCGACAACAACAACAACCAGCATCAATCACCATCCACGTGGGGGAAATTTAATAGAGGTGACCCCTTCACTTATCTGGCTAGGAAGCAACGTTTCAACTAAAGACAGTCGGAACGGATGAAGATGTCAAAAACCAACCAGAATCGGAAAGGTAAAAACGCCTTCATCAAAATGAAACCAGTTTGCAAATCTTCCACACTCAGCATTAGGAACAAGATTCGGATTTCCAACACAAATGTTAAGTTAGTCAGTTTTTTTTATACCGAGATCAGAAACTTGGCCAGAGTGTCACAAAAAAGGACTTCCAAGAGGTTGCACAAACTTTCATGGCAAAGTTAAACTTTCGACACCACTAACAACCAATCAGAAAACGACCTTGAACGGACCAGTCACATTAAAGAGGCATATATGATGAATGGAAATGTATATTTGTAGAAAAAAGCATAAAATAGAGAATAAAAAAGTTACATGGGATATCTTTCTCGAACATGTGAGAGAAACATCTCCCAGTTTAGCATGGGACTGTCAATGGAGAAGTTACACCATATCCCGTACATATATTCATCCAAATGACCATAAATGAGATCCATTTATAGCCCTTATCCTATTTTTCAACCTGCCCCAAAATCCTTCAATAGAATTTGTATGTGTCCTCGTAACGGGATCCACAAAATCACTTGAATGGTTGACTCTATGATGAATATATCCCAGAGATGACAGTGAATTGTAGCCTTTCCACTTGTCGGTGCGTATAATTGACCCCCGCTTAACAAGTCTGGTAATAATAGGTATAAGAGTAGTTGCTTTTCTATCTGCTATCCTTAGGGAGAGAAGCGACCTAGCGAAAAAAGTTCCTACGAAATATTAAAATTATCAGCTTACTCTCTCTAGCGTTAGTAGGCTTCAAACATATACCACAACGATGAACAAACCCATCAGTTGATTTGGTATAGCTTTTTAAAGTCATGATACCACCACACAAACAAATTCGCTCTTTCCGGCGCAACTCAAATCCAGGAAATACTGGAAAACACTAACCTCCTCGAACTGTAACAGTAGCCTTGTAAGGTCACGCATTCGAAGTGAATCAAGCGCTATACAACATTGAACTGCGTTCGTGAACCTCATTGGATAATTCGACATCGTTCGTGAATCTCATTGGATAATTCGCTGATTGGTAGTCAGTGGTGTCGAAAGTTTAACTTCGCCACTTTCATCAACAACTGCCTGCTTCTCTTTGGTTCCATACTGAATATCAAATGGCCAGCCGGCCAGAAATAATTAATTAACAACAAAACACTCTGGGAAAGAAACAACCAAGCGTCAACTGCTCCACAGATATGTAAGAGAAAATGAAGATGGATCAGGCATACATTGAGGAAACCGTCGAATGAAATCGCACGCCATGCAGGCCATCACTCTGTGGTGAGAGCAGCCTGCTAGCCAATTGGTTGGCATTAATCTACGTCAATGTCTAGGTCAATAATATGGGCCATGAGAAAATATGAACAGGGCTGTTTCAACAACCAATCACAGCAAACTTAAACGTGGGCAAACATAATTCGCAGATAGATGGCTCCACTTTTCGAGGAACTCGAAAACAACCAATCAGAAGACTGCGTTTGTCTACTTGATTAGGTTATAATAATGTATGTGAAATTTATATAAATACGTGTTGATTTCTGTAATAAAACGATCTGTTGCCTGACCCTTGTCTTCTGTTGTTACAACTCAAGTGGAAACCAAATGGGAAGCGACGAGTGGATCATCATGAGATGACATAAAGGAGATCGTGTGGTGAGGAGGAAATGAGAGAATATGGGTAACCGTGATCTAAGCTGAAGAGGAGGGCAGAAGATAAGACAAAGTGAAGATGTGTTGTTGAAGCCCTATATTCCACTCGGATTTCAAGAGAATAATAATAATAATAGATAGCGATTTACAAGATGGACACTGACGGCGGCTTGTTTGAATCCTCTCACTGAGCTATCTGAATTTCAACCAGCTGAATGCATTATATTTCCTCTAATTCTTATTACGTATTTAACAATTCAATTATATATTTGAGTCGCATACAGTATGCTCACCACGCGCATTTTTAGTTTACTTTCAAACTACCAGTGAGGATTTCTTAATGAGACGAAGGAAAAATGTCATAAAAAACCTGTTCTGATCTGATCAGTTAGACATTTGATGACAATAAAAAAGTCAGCTTCAAAATATTTACTGATAACGCAACATAAATGAGTTTGTAAAGAGCAGAAAGATGATTCTGGTACAGTTTTTTTGTTAAAAGTTAAGAGAATGACATTCTTCCTTCTTATCACAATATTGATTGTGTATACTCTCCTTGTTTCAGAACAAATGCTTGTTTCGAGTATAATCCCAGATTGACATCAGTTACAAAACCAGTAGGGAATACTGGACAGCTGTTTCGGTCTAATCTGGGACTAATCATCAGTTCGAAACCATGGTTCCAACGATGGATCGAACTAAGGACTTTCAGATCACGAGGCGTTGTTGTGTCCGTCAGGGATGCCAACTATCCTCATTTCTTTTTAATTTCATCAAAGGTGTACTAATGGAATTAACCCCAACTACTGACATCAGTGACTCAAGGATTGATTTCTTGCCAGGGAATAATCTCGTTGACTCAGGATATGCAGATGATATAGTCCTTCTAGGTGAAGACGCTGACAAAATCCTGCTGAGTCTTCTGAACGCCTTGAGCTGTAATCTATCAGTGTTTGGCATGCGATTCGCTCTCTCTGTTAAATGAAAGATGATGTTGTTGGACTGGACTGCACTGACCACTTACTTCACTTTTTGGGGAAGTTGTATCAGCCAGTGACAACGGATTGATCGATCGCTGATGAAATCTCAGCACGGATACAGAGGGTTCGTTTCGCATATGCCAGTTTACGCCGTCTCTGACGTGGACGTGATATCCAGCCCTCTGTCGACCATAGGACGCGTGTACTGCTTAGCAGTCTTTTCCATCCTCCTTTATGACTGTAAGACATGGTCATTGAGGGTGGAAGACACGAAACGCCTAGTCAGCTGTCTTTGTTCATAGGTGCCTGCGTTCTATTTCCCGTGTGAAGTGGTATAGTAGGGTGAGCAATATTGAGGTGAGGCTTTGATAAACTGCTACATAGGCGGGGGGGGAAATCAATAGACGAGGTTGTGAAGTTTAACCGATTGAGATGGTTAGGACATGTGTTGCACATGCATGCCTAGCCATCGCCTTCCCCGACAAGAGGCAATGTTGGCTGACATAGGGTTAAGTCGGAAAAGAGTCAGCTGGTGGCAGACAAACCAAAACATGGCTTCAGTCAATCCATGAAATCCACAACAGTTAGTTTA